ACATACAACATTGTTTTGATGTTTATACCATTGTGGAATGGCTAAATTGAGCTAATTAACATTAATTACCTTACATATTTATTTTTTGGTGGTGAGAACACCTAAAATCTACTCTCAGCAACTTTAAGAATACAATACATTATTAGCTGTACTCATCATGTGGTACAATAGATTTCTTGAACTTATTCCTTCTATCTAATTGAAATTTTATATTCTTTAACCAATATTTCCTCAAATCCCCAGCCCCCACCTCAGCCCATGGTAACCACCATTCTATTTTCCATTTCTATGAGTTCAATTTTCTGGATTCCACATATAAGTAAAATGCAGTGTATAAAATAACCTAATTTCATAACAAGATTTATCTTTGCATACATGGGAAAAATATAGGAGGATGATACAAAATATTAAAGACAGTTATTTATAAATGATATAATTATGATTTTCTGGTTCTTTAAGGAATTTATATGAATTTATTGCTCTTGAAATTAGAAAAAGATTTAAAAAAAATCATGAGTGAAAGCTATTTAAAGAATTTGGAAATGATATTCATAAAAGTATCACTTATTCTTTTTTGTGAGTAGTCACCAAACTAAACTCTTTGGAGCTAACAAAGGTATATAAGATATTGTTATAATTTCTCCAGAAAGTCAAGATTTAACATGGGAGATAAAATGAATGTATAAATACCATGTTTAAAGACTACAAATAATGCAGATGCAAGGTAGAATGCTAGAATGGTTTAAGCATGTGGGACAATATAGTTATAATTCCTTAGTGAGAAAGGTTACTTTTAGGTAGAACAGAGTTAAGGAGGTTGAAAGTAGAAGAATACAGAGGATTTCAACACGTAGAAATTGTTTGAAATCATTTCAGAAAAAAACAGGACTCAGAAGTGTAAGTGCTAGGTAATTTTGGCTGGAGCCTGGGATAGAAGAGGGACTGTATGCTTTGGGGCCAGATTAGGGTGCTGAATGCCAGGAAAAGGGATCTGGACTTTGTTCAATAGAAATTAGCAGTCACTGAATGAAGGTTGTTGAAGAGAGAAGTGAAATAATTACAGATGAAAAAAGAAAACCTATTTGAAGTCTATTATGCTAGCCCAGGTTAGTGACAATGAAGGCTTGAAGTAGGATATTGGTTATGGGGATGAAAAGGAAGGATAAAATTGAGAAACATTTTAGAAGTCTATTATATAGAATTTAGCAATGATTTAGAAGTAGGAAAAGAGGTAGGAGGCAAAAGAAGTGATGGCATTTTTGTGAGTCTAGATTCTTAGAACAGAGGTAACAATAACACAAAAGGACAGAAAGAACAATGAGGAAATTTTGTAGAGGAAGATTTTTTTTTATATCTTGAATGTTAGATTTGATTTTAGGAGAACATCTATGAGGCAATACTCAAAAGGCAGTTGAAAGTATGGATTTCAAGTGCAGTCGTTCAGCAAATACGTATTTAGTGTCTCTGATGTTTAATAACTCCATAAGCATTATCAGTTATCAATTGAGTAAAACATCTCTGTCCTTATGGCGCTTGTTGTTTGGAGTAGGGAAATAAATAGCTATCAAATAGATAATTACAATCCAATTATCATAAGTAATATATCAAGAGAGTATGAAAGAATGCTGGGAGAGCACAGAGGAGAAAGCTGTGTCCCGATCCTCTTTGTTTAGATTATGTGGAAGGGATTCACCAAGATCATCGAAAGAGGGTTCATATGACCAGTAGGAGTTTACAAACATCGGAAATTATTCCAGGCATGATGTGGATGTTTCATAAAGACGAGAACTTAGTCTAGAGAGCACAGAGCGAGAACACTGAACTGAAAACAAAATCTGGAGGAATGCTTATATTTGCAAGGTAGGAGAAGGTTGAGAAGCCACTGAGGGGGAATTGTAGAATCTGATCTGAGAAGCTAAAACAGGAGATTCAAGACACCAGAATGTTTGATAGTGATCAAGAGATTAGGAAGATTTAGGATAAAAGTATACTGATTTAGTTATTCGGAGGCTATTAACTTTTCAAAAATGTTTCAATAATACCAGAATATTTTCACTGAAAATGCAACCAAACAAAAAGAAAATAATATCAGAATAAAAGTGTTTCAGTTGGTGAGAATGTGTAATAATAACTATTATAAAAATAAAGGTAACAAAATGCTAGTCCTCTTTTATGAATATATATGTCACACATATTAACTCATATGTATTTACTTACAAATTAGCAGTAAACTCATACTGATAACCTCACCATGTACAGGGAGTAAATATAAACAATATTTTTATGAACTTAATTTTTAAAAATAATTTCCAGGAACTGACAAAAAAAATGGTCTTGTGGGGATAGAAGAGCCATTGGATTTGGCAGGGATTGTTACTGATGTTTGAAAACAACTTTCAAAATAGTAAGGGCAGTTAGACTTTGAAGGAGCTGAGTATATGAGAGAAAATAGATGATAACAGTTCTCATAAATCCTACTTCCCCTCCACCCTCACTCTCAATTATGTCTACTACCTTTTCTTCAGTTATCACCATAAATGTTCCTATCTTAGATAGACCTTTCTGCCCAACCTTCTTCAAAGTAGTTTCTGCATGTTTTACCAGCACACCGTTCTTTTGCTCCATATAGCTTCACACAATTGGTAATATATTACTGTATATTTATTAAATGTCTGTCTTCCTCACCAGACTGTCAGTTGCATGAGGATAGGCACCATGAGAATTTATTTTCCACTTTACAACTTAACTTCACCACAGTGTTGGTACATAGTAGTCTTTTAGTAAATATGTACTGAATGAAAGAGAGAAGTAAAAGGATAAGATTGAGTATTCCCAGGGCAAATTTCTTGGAGATAGGATAGTTACAAGAAACGTTAAAATCCAGCATGTCACCTAGTGTTTGGACGACTAGAGTAGAATAGAGACAAAAGTCAGAAAAAATTAGATTACACTCTTAGAACAATTACTGTGATCCTTGATGGACTGAGAACAAGGATGGGAGGAAGAGGAAAGAGATATGTTTTTAAATAAATAGATGAAAAAAATGGGAGAAGCTAAAGTAAAGCAGATGGGATAGACTTCAAAAGTGAGGTAGTAAAAAAATGAGTGAAAAGCAGTAAAAAAATATATACTGTCTTTTTCCTCCTTATCAGGTGAGTTGGAATTTTATAGAGGGCTGTGGGCCAAAGGGAGTAGAATGAAAAACCACATTTCAATTAAATTGAGGTGTAAAGATTGCTTATAGAAATAATGGGAAGAAAGTGTAGAAGGCTATGTTCATGGTAAAACAGAGGCATTATAAGATACAGTGTGAAAAGACAAGCACCAGGGAAGACCAGGAAATGAGTGAACTATTTTACAGTGGGCTATTAGCTATGATGTCCATACTTAATAAGTGTTAATTGGTTAATAAACTTCTTCAGTGTAAATTCATCACTATTTCTAGGGAAATAGTACAAAAGAATCCAAAATTGAGTAATTCTAGTATGAAACAAGGGCTTTTTGTTATGCAGCCCCATGTCTTAGAATATAATTACACACAAATATATTTATATTATTTACATTGAGTGATTTTGAAAAAAAATATTTTATGCTTTCACATGGTGGTATAAATTCTGCACAATATTTATAGCTACTTCCTAGGAATTCTTGGTTCTAAAATATAAAAGTCACTTTGCCTACCACTTTTAAAAATGACTACTCAGATTTAAATAGTTTTTAAGATCGCTTACAATTATGATTATGAAATGACTAATTTTAATTTGTGTATACTTCAAATATAATCTAAAAGTTTGGTTTAGTTTTTTTGTTTTGTTTTGTTTTAATCAGTACAGTGAAACTTTTAGGCAGCCATGAATACCTTGCCTTGTTGTAGTATTTCATTTCTTCTTGTGACCAACGGCATAGCAGGGGTTTGTAAGGTGACTGGAGATAGGGATGCTATCTTTATTCATGAAAAAGAGTTGTCTGTCTGTTCTCTGCACAAAACGAAATGATTCCTGTGGAAGTCAAATAAGAGAGACTAGCCTGAATCACACTGTGCTTTACTAGTGAGGGCTTTGGCACAGACCACCTGGTGTTTTATGTTGTTCTATATCCATTCAAAACCAAGAATCAAAGTGCTCTGTGATATCCTTATGAATAGTCATACATTAAAACGTGCCGCTTTCCATAGAGCTTATTATTTTTTTTAAGTTTTTTACATGAGCTTCACCGTATTTTAGTAGATTTACTGAGATAATGGTTCCCTGACTATTAGGGAATAGTTCGCTCCCTGAATGTGAGATGTTTTGGAAAATATCGCTGTTATTGTATAACTAAATATTGTGCAGTAATTCTGACTTAAAGCACCTACTAGGTTAATTCTTGGTATTATAAACAGAGTGCTGATGAGGAAAGAATATACTTATCTGCTGCAAAGTTTTACACGTATGAATAGCAATTACCAAGGTGGAAAGAAAAGAGAAACTCTCTACTTTTATCTGTACTTTTTCTCACCACTTGAATTCTTTTTAATCTACTTGCTTCTCATGAATAATCTTTTATTAAACCATGACATTTCGAGTTGTTGCACTTTAGTTTTCTTTAGTAAAATTCTCTGCCCTTACCTGCCCCTCACACAGACAAAAAAAATCTCATCATGTATCTGTGATACTACTGATTTGTGTTTTGAATGATTCAAACTTGAGATAATTGTGTAAATGTATTACGAGTCAGATAATTTGAAGGTTGATCATCAACCCCTGTCTGGAATATAGTCAGAACATGAGTTTGATTCAGTATTTCCTCTGTCGCTAGAGGTATGATCTGTCTTCTTGCTGTCTGTTAGTCTTGGTAGAAATTTATTATCTTTTCTTACCTAAATTGGAAAGTGGAGGAGGAATAGATTTAGGTCTGAAAATCATATAAATGCTTCCTCCAGGCGATCAAAAGTTAGCTGTTAATTTTGTTTTGGATGTGAATGAGACTGGCAGCACACTAATCTTAAGTTCTCTTCCCAGTGGGTAAACCTCACAAGTGCAACTACTGTGGACGAAGTTACAAGCAGCGCAGTTCACTGGAGGAGCACAAGGAACGCTGCCACAACTATCTCCAGAATGTCAGCATGGAGGCTGCTGGGCAGGTCATGAGTCACCATGGTGGGTAGAAATAGCATTTGTGACTTCCATTCCCCTCTAGACTGCTTTTGTAGCTTTTTATGGATTAAATGGTTTCCTCTGTCCTTCAACATGAAGATAGAAATCTTATTCTGTTTAAAGCAATTTTAAGATCACATTAACTTAAATGAGTTGACCTTTGGTTACATTGCAAATAATCTATATTAGATTTTTTTGATACTCCCAGATTGTTTCTGATTATGTTTCTAAACTAACATAAAAACAGCAGCCAATAATACCGTCTTTAATAACAAAGGAGGCATTATTTACTCTTCTCTTTGATTTCTCTAACCAAATAGAGATGTTCCTACATTAGCCTATAGGTTTCCTAAAAGAATAAATTGGTTATTTTCATGTTTTCATCTGTTAGGTAAGTGATCAGTGATATAACTTGATACTCCTCCAATCTGTCTTGTAATTTATCTGAAAAATTACTGATTTTGCTTTCTATAAGTGTGAAAAACAATCTAGACTAAAATTAAACACCATTTCCCTCCATATAAAATATTCTCCAAGTAAGACGTCTTGATCTCCACAATACACTATGGCAGATAGGAAAGCAGTTCCTAAGGTTTATCAATTAATAATTTTCTATTCCTGAAGAGTTAATTTTAATAATTAGCCTTACAAAGGAAGGTAGTAAATTTCAATACATTAGATTTGTAGTATCTATATTGTCTTACTACTCATATTTTTATAGTGATTAGTTTCATTATTAATATGAATATATAGATATCTTTTTAGTATATTTATATCTTTTATTTTGAAAATATTTGGCCAACATTAAATGGTATAGTTGGGATTGATGTATTATAAAATATAAATATCCACTTATTGACTAAGATATAGCTAGATCAAGGATTATCTGTAGATTTGTTTGTTTTATTTGGCACAAGGTGGAACTGTTTATTGCAGAGCTAGTAATTATTTATTATTGAGTTGGGAATTCTGAAAATGTAAAATATTGTTATTCTGAATAATCGAAGTATTTCCTTCTGTTGATGATAGTTTCTATAATTTAACACATTGACTGCTATGTGAGTTGTATTTAACTCAGGCTAGTTTTGAGCCCAGGGCCACGTGAAGCAAAACTCTGTAGTTGGTTCATGAAAATCTTACTCCTTGATGTTCTTATTGTTACAATTAATATTGACAATTTAATTCTAAAAACATGGATTGTGCTGCATATAACTCACATACAGAAAGTAAAAAATAACAAATTAGAAAGGGTCATTTTGTTTTAATAAAACACCATGGCCCCAGGGGAAAAAAAATTTTTTTTTCTAGTGTGGCAGTCAATGTGTTGAAGAATGTGATTTGATTATATTCATCATTTATTTTAATATTGTTATTATTAACATTTTTACAAACTTGTCTGTTTTTCATGTCTTAGTGAATTTGATATCGAAAGCTTGCGTTAATTATCTGGGCTTATGAGGGTAGCATAGGATTCAGAGGATAAAGATAAAGATATAAAGATAAAGATATAAAATGATGGGTCTCAGAGTCCAACAAAACTGTTCTTTCTACACGGTGTCTTAATGTAGCATTCATAGGCATTGAGTGAGAATTAAATGTGATTAACAAGTGCCTAAATAATAGTTATTTTTCTATTATATTTCATGGCATTAAATAACTAAAAATAGTAAATATGCCATCCTCTGTAAAGTTGTTACTTACCAGGGTTAACTTAAACATTAGAGGTTCATTTAATCCAAACAACAAGGATGAGTAAAAATTGCATACATTGGGCAAACACAAAGAATGTACATTCTAGGCAGAGAGGAGGCTTGAAAATATAAAAGATTGTTAACAGATTCCTTGATGTTAAGCGTTACAGAAGTTAAAGGAATTGTAGGAAATGAGATTGAAGTAATAGGTTGCAATACAAAAGAAGAGCCTTTTATTGCCAATCTAGTATTTGAAATTTCACAGCATTACTGATGGGAGCCACTGGGATAATCAAATCTGTATCTTCCAAAGAAAAGTGTCACCAATGTAGAATATAGCATAGATGCCTGACTGGGGCAGGAGGTGGCCTATGAGGAAAGACTAGAAGTGAGAATGCCAAGAAAAGGATGAAAAGGCAGTGACAGGATGAGAGGACAAGAGGAAACACCAAAGACATATTTAGGAGGTAAAATAAAAAGTTCTTAGAAATGTTTATTGAGTTTGAGGAAAGGGAAGGACTTTAATGACTTGTAGTTTTGGAAATAAAGATAACAATGAATTGGATTTTATGGCAGATTATTTATCTTATTTGAATGTTTATATTTATGTTCATTTTTCAAGTCTGTTCAGCTTGAAGAAAAAGCTTTAAAAAAATCAAACTATGTAATTACTTTTTCACCCAAACCTGAAGAAAAAAATGAAAAGTATGAACAAGGAAGATAGCCAGCTTTAAAGCTACATGCCATTAGGTTTATGCTTTGAATTATTTGGGAAAGGGAGATTCTTTATTGTGAGTATGGAGGCATCATCTTGTACCTGCAAACTTCCTAGTAAGCTTTTTTGACTTATTTCCATTGAGGGGCATCATTTCCTTCATTAATTCATTCAGTAAATATCAATTGAATATATTTGTCTCATATCATAAAAGATTCTGGAGACAAAAAGTCAAATAAAATGCAATTCCTAAGGTTATTTACCAACTGCTATAAGAAATATTAATAGAACAGTAAATCAACAATTAGAGCACTTTGTTATAAGCATTACGGCAGCATAGAGGATGGATATCTAAATCAGCTGGGATTCTAAGAGGAATTTCCAGGGAAATTTGTGTTTGAGCTCAGTTTTGAAAGGCATACTAGTAAGCTATTAAGTGTTACAGGGGTCCTCAAACTTTTTAAACGGGGCCAGTTCACTGTCCCTCAGATGGTTGGAGGGCTGGACTATAGTTTTAAAAAAAACTATGAACAGATTCTTATGCACACTGCACATACCTTATTTTGAAGTAAAAAACCAAACAGGCAAAAACACCCACATGTGGCCAGGGGGCCATAGTTTGAGGAAGCCTGGTGTAGAACATGCAGAGAGAGCAGCATGGGTGAAGAAACAGAAGTTTAGAAGAGCTTGGAGAGTTAAGGACCTACAACGAGCTTTCTATAATGGGAGCTCAGTTTGTAAGGACAAGAGAAATTGGAAGGTGATGAGGCTAAATAGCCTCTGGATAGAACATCAAGGGCCTATTGTGCTAAGCAAAGAATTTTGTACTTTATCCTAAAAAATAGGGCACTTAGAATTTATTGCTAGAAATGTGGGCGAGAGATTAGAGGAGTCAAGAAACAAGTACATCAGTTAGGAGAATGTTGCAGTGATCAAGGTGATTTTAGTAGCCTGGAATATATAGAAGGTTAGCTAACTGAGGGACACTTCCCTATGTAGAAGCTAAAACACTGATACTTTCATGTGTGTGTTTGTAAGAAGATGGGGTAGGGAGGAGGAGAGGCAAGGGACTGGGTGAAAGGAAAAAATCTAGGATTTACCATAGGTATCTATCATGGATGATGGAGTAGGTAATAGTGCCATTCATAATTTTTAATAGATGGGAATTGTGAAAATAGGAGAAAATGTAAGGAGGAAAATGTAGATTTTCAGTTTTGAACACACTGATAACTCTTACATGCCTGTGAATTAGCCAAGCAAAACTGTCTGGGAGGAAATTGGATAGATCTTGAGCTCTTAAGAGAGGTCTGGGTAGGAAATAATGATGTGTGAACCATCATTATATATGTAGGAGCCTGAAGTCGTAGGTTTTAATAAAGTACTGTGAATACCTATAGGTTGAGACAACTAGAAGGACAAGAACACACCAGGAGGAAAAAAAAAGGTCATGAAACTAAGAGCAGAATAGGAACATGGAAAGAGTGATTTCACAGAGGCCTAAGCAAGTATCAGCACTGTCAAATGTTGTCAAGAAAATAACTAAGAAAATGGAGATTTTTTTTTTTAAGATTCAACAACATGGAGAAAGTTTGTGAGAATATAAAAAACATATTATTTTGCCTGCCTAACATTTCCTCCTCCTCCTCTTGCTAATAAGCATGCCATTTTCCTTTAGAGAAAACTTCCACCCGTTGTATGCGGCCATGGTCCCACTGGGTCATCAGTCCAGGTACCCTGACCTTTCCTAGTCAGGGGATAGACACGTGACCTAATCTAGGCCCCTCAGACTCTTTCTTCCTGGAATTTGAATTTTGTGTGGCTTCGTTTAAAAAAAAAAAAAAGCTATATTCGTAATATTCTTATGGTTTTGCCTTTATGGTTCATCAATGTGGAGAAACAATGATATAATACAAGTATAAATATATTTTATCCTGATTATAACTTCAAAAATAAGATCAAAGAAGATGTTTGGTTATAAAGTTTGCTCAAACAAGTGAAGGTAGCATACTGGTATATTTTTAGCCCAGATAAATGTCTTGCTATGTGATTAATGCACTATTGAGATCTATAGAGAATTTGTGTTTCAAGCAATGTATTAATATATTATTCAGAAACATTTTCATCTAAGTTACACCCAGATCTACTAAAGCAAAAATTCAGATTAATTACATTAGTGAGGAAAAATGTATCAAGTCTTTTCTTAATGGTAGACCTTACATATAGATCAAACTGGTTTTATAAAAAGTCAATGCTCAAAATACATCTACAAAGTATAGTATAGCACAGTGTTTAAGAGCCCAGGCTCTGCAACCAGACTTCCTAGTGGTAACATTCCCTACTAACTGCATGTAAACCCTAACAAAATTCTTAATTACAAAATTTTTTAAATTACTTAATATCTTGGAGTCTTTGTTTCCTCATCCATAAAGTGAAGATGGTGATAGCATCTCTTCCATGGGGTTGTTGAAAGAATTAAATGCAAAACCTTAAAATAATACTTAGCTCATGGTCTGTATCATTTATTATTGTTGATATTGTAAAAACAAGATCAATTTTTGACATGCAAAGGGCTAGAGCAGTAAAGTAGAAGTTAGAGCAGAACTCTGCCAAAGTCATCATTTTTAGTTCACATGAGCTTCATTGAACGTGGGACAAATCATCTGAATTGAGGTGGATGTGGCATGGGACAGTTCCCACACCCAGGTTTCGTTTTGAGTGTTAAATGTGTGCAAATATCAAAATTCAGGGTGAGACTTAAAGCAAAACTGCCAACTTTTAGAATACTCATTGCAGAAATAATTAGCATATTCAATCTTGGGGGCAAACCCTGGTAACCAGTTTTGCTGGGATTTTTAGCAAAATTTGCAACAACAACTTTTTTCTTTACAAATTTTTTTTCACTTTGGACCTTTTCCCACTTGATAATATGAATATTGTCAGTATAGAAAATGACCTAAGTGTTTTCTTATTCCTCAATCTCATCTTGGATTTTTTTTTTCTTTTTGCAAATTAACATCTGATAATTGCAGAATCGCATGCTATTCATAGCCAGAGGACCTCTTATTAAATGTAGATTTAAGATTCAGCTTTTTATGGTCATTCACTAGATTAATCAGAACTTGAATGAATGTTGAAATTCTATAAACATGTCCAAATTATGAAAACACTTTGATGCTATTTTTCATTTTTTTTTGAAATCAGCAACCTCTATTGGTTATTAAGTAGGTCACCTGAATTGTGCACTCAATTTTCCTTTCATCTCTTGCCTTTTCACTTTTATTTTAGTGTTCACCAGCAGGATCTCCTTGTAAATGAGAATGTATTTGTTGCACACAGTGGGGCTATCTTGTACAAATGAAAGAATCAGCTTTTTACAGTGAATGCTGAACAAGTAAAGTTACCCTAGGAAATGAAACCTTTGTTTCCAAACAGTACTGGCACAAGGGCAATTGGAGAAAACAACAATAATCAACAAGTAATAAGTTTTGTTCTTTCCCTTGAATACTGGTTTTAATCAACTGATCTAATCTGTGTGAGATGTTATCCTATCCTTAATTAAACATCCTCGGACAGTATCTCTACTCAAAAACAAATTTTATAAGTTCTTTGTCTATGCTATTAATGTCAGTATCTAAGGCTAACATATTAGCCCATAGCAACTTAGACATGGGATGAATAAGGAATAGCATTGGAGAGTTTATGTCAAATGAATTAGGGCAGTAGTTTAGTAAGCCAATGTTCCAGTTTGGAAATGGATTCTTCTTAATGCTGAAGAGCTCTTTTTAAAATAAATTACAATCATAAAGCTGCCACAATTAACTATGCATAAGACATGTTCAGAATTGGATCTCCTTTGTGAGAGCAGCTCTGTGCAGGTATTTAAGCTACTGCCAATAAGGCTAACAGCTCATCAAATAGAAAATCTGCTGCAGGAAAACACATAGGTTAAAAAAAAAAAAAACAGTTAAATATGGCACTGTTATTCTGTGTGCCTGTTTAAGCTTTTCTCCAAAACAAGTTGACTTAAATTGTTTTAGAAAAATAAACTCCAAAAGCCTTGAAAATAGTGCAGTCTTAAAGTAGTATTGATTTTAATCAATGATAAAAACACTTTCAGAGGAATAAGATGAGAAATCAGATGAACATGTTTGCCAATCCATAGTGGCAACAGTTTATGTCATTGATCTAAGAAAGACTCAGATAAAAACAAATCGTGTGTGTGTGTGTGTGTATGTGTGTCTGTGTCTGTGTCTGTGTGTGTGTGTGAAATTAAAGAGTATACTTTCACTCTAGAGGTTTTTTTCTACTTGCTTTTATTCAAGCATACTAGCTTATGTTTTTATAACAAATATTGAGATGGCAAATCCAGCTTTTTATCTTTCAAAATGTTGAAGAAATTATCAGATTGCACTCTTGTATGGTTTTATATAGTACCTCCTATGGAAGATTGTAAGGAACAAGAGCCTATTATGGACAACAATATTTCTCTGGTGCCTTTTGAGAGACCTGCTGTCATAGAGAAGCTCACGGGGAATATGGGAAAACGTAAAAGCTCCACGCCACAAAAGTTTGTGGGTAAGCATTGCAAATGCTTTTGTTTCTTTGCAAGGTGATTTTAATGGGAAAAGGCAAGTTCCCATGTATAGAAATACCTGGTATGTTTCAGTTCATGAAATAAATACCCATCTCTTCTCCATTATTCTTTTCTAATCTATGGAAACTCCACATGCACCACACAACATATGCACACACACAGACACACACACCCTTAGGCATGTGGGCAGAAGAAAGAGAAATAAAGGAAAGACTGATAATTGTCACCATTTCAAATTATAATATAAAGTGAAATAGCATGTAAAACTGTTAATTTATTTAAAAAATAATAATACATTAGGGAAATGGTCTAACATATTGGCCAGTTTTGTAATCTGTTTTAAAATTTGCACTAGTGCCAGATATTTAACTGTTTTCTTTATATAATATTGTTTTAGTATTTGATCTAGAATTAAGAGAAATTTATTTTCTTTTCAAAATTCTGCATTAGAAAAATAATGCAGCAACCTACATTCCAGATGTTTTATATTTGGATCTATATTTTATACTTTGATCTTTGTTTTTTTATCCAGCCTATGATTTTGAACTGAAAAGATTAAATATCATATATTTAGACTTTCCCTTTTCATTTCTAAACCCTTAGATATTCTTTGATACACCCAGTGTTGGCATGATTCTGAATGCATGCTGCAAGTCAGTGTCACTGAGGATACAAAAAGAATGTATTTTTTTAAAGTAGTATGAATAATAAAGATTCAATAGAATTGTTAAAGAATTTTCATTCATTGTATATATAATGTATCTATTCTTGTAGACTTAGTATAGGATAAAAAAATAAGAGATAAAAATATTCAAACATTCTTACATTGTAGTGTCAGCATTGTGGGACATCCAAATTGAGTAGTGATTGGGAGAAAAATCTTTTCTTTAGTTATTTCAGGGAAAAAGTAACAAAATTCTATTACTTCAGTAAACAGAGTAGGTTTCTTTTCAATCTAAAATTGAAGAACAAATCCCAAAAATGGCACTTTAAGACTAGCTGGAGGGATTTATTGAAAACTCATTGAAAGAAAGCTAACAGGTAACTCTAAGGGCCATAGTTTATACAAGGTCAGTTTAAGGCCCTTGAGATTATGCTCAAAGGCTTACCTTGAGCCCTGGGGTAACATTTCCTTCTGTTCCTTTCTTTTTAGTAGTAACTATGAAAGAAAAGAAAAGGAAAAAAAGCCTGTTTATTTGTTTTCAATGTTGATTAGTTTAATAGATGTCATTAAGTGCTTATATCTAACTAGACTCTACTGTAGTTGGAAAAATATGAAATTATTTGTCTTCTGAATCTGTATAGTCTGCCTTTTGTAATATTTTTGTCATGTTTCCTATGCCTTAAAGATGTTACTCTCAATTTTATTTTATAATATTCCCAAGAAGAGAAAGATTTTTAGAAAATTATGGTCTGACCTTAAAATGATGACATTACATTTTTTATTGAGAATTTGAGAGTATATTTTTATTTGGATTCTAGCCTAATAATGTATGATAAACAATAGCTACAGTAACCATTTCTGATTGCAGTTAAATGGAAAAAACTTTCATCATTCCACACTTACCATAATTTTTCTTTTACCATGTCCCTCAGTTCAATCCTGTTCTTTGACCTTATCAAGCTCTCCAGGCCAGTGATCCCTAAACGTCCTGCATATCGATTTGTCTCTTTCCTCTCTCTCCTTATCCAGCTTAGATTCCATAGTTTATCAGTTTGACTACTCTCTTGCCTTGTCCCATCTATTGCTTTCTCCTGGTGAAACCCTTCTCTCTCCTATAGCAGAGTGAGCATCTTTTCCATATTTATATCTCAGCTGCCCACACCCTTACAAGTTGGCATAACTATAGATAAATGAATAAATGATCTCAAGTATCAGCTGTCCCATCTATCCTATGCAGCAGCACTCTTTTAATCCATTTATTTATTTATTTATTTTATTTCGGCATATTATGGGGGTACAAATTTTAAGGTTTTAATAAATGCCATTTCCCCCCTCCCCCCACAAGTCTGAGTTTCCAGCATGACCATCCCCCAGATGGTGCACATCTCACTCATTATTATGTATATACCCACTCCCGCCCCCCTCCCCCCTGCCCAATACCCTATTACTGTAGTACCTATGTGTCCACTTAGGTGCTGCTCAGTTAATACCAGTTTGCTGGTGAGTATATGTGGTGCTTGTTTTTCTGTTCTTGGGATACTTCACTTAGTAGTATGGGTTCCAGCTCTAACCAGGAAAACATAAAATGTGCTATATCACTGTTGTTTCTTAGAGCTGAATAGTACTCCATGGTATACATATACCACATTTTATTAATCCATTCTTGGATTGATGGGCACTTGGGCTGTTTCCACAGCCTTGCAATTATGAATTGTGCTGCTATAAACATTTGAGTATAACTAGAATATACTTAGAACTCACAAAAATCAGCAAGAAAAAATCAAATAACCCTGTTAAAAAGTGGGCAAAGGACTTGAACAGAAACTTTTCTAAAGAAGACAGAAGAATGGCCAACCAACATATGAAAAAATGCTCAACATCTCTAATCATCAGGGAAATGCAAATCAAAACCACAATGAGATATCACTTAACTCCAGTGAGCATGGCCTTTATCAAAAAGTCTCCAAACAATAAATGCTGGCGTGGATGTGGGGAGAGAGGAACACTCTTACACTGCTGGTGGGCCTGCAAACTAGTTCAACCTCTGTGGAAAGCAATATGGAGATACCTTAAAGCAATACAAGTGGATCTACCATTTGATCCAGCAATCCCATTACTGGGCATCTACACAAAAGATCCAATGACACTCTACAAAAAAGACACTTGCACTCGAATGTTTAATCCATTCTTGAATAGTCTTCTCTCCTACTCTCCACTGTGGCCATTTCAACCTTTCTCTACTCTCTGCAAACATGGTGTTCATTCCTTGGTGATCTTGTATCTATATTCATAGCAATGAAATTAGTTGAAATGATTTCAGTATAATATCACCAATCCTATAGGATTATGTACATCCACATAAATATTTTTTTTCTCTTATTGCCATGAAAGAAGTATACCTCTTTCTGATTAAGGTTAATTCTTCCTCTTGTGCCTTGGATTTCTATCCTGCTCCCCACAAGTACCTTACACTGTTATTTTTCCTCTTTCCCACTTATATTTTTAACTTCCCCCCTCTATTGGCATTTTTATATCAGCATTTAATGCAGTAAACTCTCATAATTAAAAAAAAAAAATCTTCCCTTAAACCCAAGTCTCCTTTCAGCTACCACCTATACTCTCCTTCTCTTCAACCATGGAATTGTTGAAAGAATTCTCTGTGCTTGCTTTCTATTTCTTTCTTTCTTTCTGCTCATTTCCCAGTCCACGTAACCTGGCTTTCTTCCCCATACTCCATTGAAATCATTCTCATTGAGATCACTACTAGCTTCCATAGTGCCAAATGCAGTTGACCCTTTTTATACAGTATCTTACACAACTCCTAGAGAGCATTTGCCACTACTAAATAGTTCATTTGGAAACACACTTTTTCCTTGGTTTCTATGACATTGATGTCTCTTGTATTTCCTCCAGCTTCTCTGACTGCTCCTTCTCAGTCTTCTTTATGGAGTTATCCCTAACAGCTATGCAGATGGGGCAAAGTGTAAATGGAAGCCCTCATTCATATGCCTAAACATTCTCATATTCTAAATCTATCTGAAAAACTTATCATTTTCACATAGATTTAGAAAATTAAGTACAAATAAATATGGAATTTTCTGATTCCTTGTAGCTCGACAGGAGACCTTGGCAGCATGAGTAGAACCTCCCCCTGGCTTACAGCCAGGCTCCCCTCTTAGACCCACTCCTGGTTCTGTCCATTGCCAAAAGGGGCCTCATACACATGTTTAGCCATGCCAGCCTGTACATACAAGTTCTTTTTACACTGGTCCCCATACATAGCACCTAAAGAGTAGTGCCTTGGCCATGCTTCAGGCCTAGGTTTGTGCTTACCAGCAATACAGTTGGTACTAAGGAGGATGGAGACTATAAAGAGGACTGTGTAGACCAGGCATCCTCAAACCACGGCCTGTGAGACATTTATCTGGCTCACCGGGTGTTTTTGCCACCGCTGCCTGTCCTTCTTAGCCGCCGACTTGTCCCGGGCCCACAGTGTGCATGTGTGAAATGTGTGCCACACTCTCCAACGGCCCTCCAATGGTATCTCAGGGATAGTGAACTGGCCTCCTGTTTAAAAAGTTTGAGGACCCCTGGCATAGACCCTAGAAGCAGGGTCACAGCCATCTGGGCAAGGAATTCTGGGATCCAGGGTAACCCAGAGAATGGTCTGGGGAGCTCCAGATCAGCACATTCCTTTGGCCCTACAGACTCCTCATTACATGAGGAGCAAGGCCCAGGGCACTCTAACACGAAACCTAGTGCAGGAATTCCACTTGCCTTGGTGTACAGGTAGACATAAAAATCCTGGTGTTCTATTTTTGACCCTCACTTTTCACATTCTACCTATGCCTGGGTGATAGTATCTATTCCCATGGGTTTAGAAGTTGCTTTCTGTCAACTGATGACTCTCATATCTCCATCTCAAGCCCAGATCTCTCTTTTAAGTTTGATATTATATCTAAGTATACTGGACATGAGTATTACTCATAGTCCTCCCCAAACTGAATTCATCATCTTTTCCATCTGAGTTTCCCAGGCGAGAAACCTGGGCTTCATGCTTCTTTCTCTTTATCATTCTCTCATGTCGAGATAATCACCAAGCCCTAGTAACTGTATTTTCTAAATTTCTCTCCATTCCATCAACTCCATTTTCACTGCCCCTCCACTAGGTTCAGACCACCATGATCTCCACCGCAGCAACTTCCTAACCCCTCTTGCTAAATGAATATCTTCAGTCCACTTTTCTGTTTAACTCCTTCAATTCTTATTTCTTTAGGATAAAATTCAAATTTCTTAGAAATTGAATGAGCCCTATATTTATGACTTCTTTCTCATCTGTTTCTACTCTCAGCCATATTGAAGTATATGTAATTCCTTATTTATAAATCATGCCCTCTTGCCTCTGATCTTTCCTACCAGCTGCTCCACCCCTGTGTTTTTTTACTTAGCTAATATTTACCATCACATTCTTACCCAATGCCATATCCTTCAAGAAGTCTTCCTTTACTCCAATAGTATGAGTTACGTATTCCTCTTATTTAACCTCATAACACACATCACACTGTATGATAAGTGATCCTTAAACCGCTCATTCCCTCTAAACTGCAAGCTCTTTAAGAATATAGCCCAAGTTTGTCTGGCTTGACTTTGAAACTTTTAACATTGCAGTATTTCAAATTGGATGCTGTGATATCATTTCTCATCTTTTCTTCTATTTTCATTACTATTATACATTCATTACATTCATCTCACTTTGGAGCCATTTGTTCAAATCTGAAATAATACTAACAACCTTAATATGCTTTTCCAGAATATAATTCTGTGGATCAACATTTCCTATCAACATTAAAAGTTAGGCATCCATCCATACAATATATTAAACCTTTATAATAAATCCACATTTATTTTTAAGAAGCATTTATCTGTAAGTTTTACTTAAGTAAGTAACTAAGCAAATAATTGGACACCTCATTGTGTTAGGGACAGAATTTTTAAAAGATGAAATATTCTGTCCAAAACTAGTAATATTTGAAGAAAAATTAAAATTTGCTTTTGTGTTTTAAGCACCAAAACTCTTATAGTTAATGTTCAGACATTATGTTGAAAATATTGAAGTAAAAGTATATTTGTTGACGTAAATATTATGGGAAAAACTACAGATACTTTAACCAAGAAGAAATATGGGAAACTAACAATGGATATATACCAGCACCATCGCACATATGTTTAAATAAGAAAGGGATGATGTAAAAGTGAATAATCATCAATTTCAAGAAGTAAAACAATGAAACATACATAATTACCAAGTTTATGAACAAGTGCATTTTGAAGTAACTCCCATTTTTAAGTATCATTCATTTTAGGAAGAGATAGAGCTTTTAAAAGTATCTTAACAATGACTTTTGAATTTTCCAGAATGATATACACTGGGCTCTAGGATTTTTTTCTAAAACAGCAACTCAATTTACCAAATTAACCCTACGCAAAAACAGTGAGGTGACATGTTATAACCAGATCACTCTCACTTTTATGATCCTTGTAGCTTCAACACTGATGTTTGAAATATGCAAAAACAAGCATAGTATCTGACTTATTTTCACCTGATATTATTTCTCCTATAGTTCCTGAGGCCTATTCAAGTGAGAATTTTAATAGAAAATGAAAATAAGATAAACTTAATCATACCTTTTAGGATAGATACATCCTCATGATGACATAAGGTTTGTGAAATATTTATTGGTTGTGCTTTTTTCGTGTTAAGAGTATCAGTGAGTCTCAGCAGGATTAAAGAGCCCAAATATTTGATTCTAAAGGATAAGATATACCGAACTGTGAAAAATGGAGGTGATTAACTGTATACCCTTTTATATTTGTTATCCCAATCACTAATTTTGTTGTATTCTTTTTTCTTTTTTCTTTCTTCTTGCTCTCCCTTTCAGGAGAAAAGCTCATGCGATTCAGCTACCCAGATATTCACTTTGATATGAACTTAACATATGAGAAGGAGGCTGAGCTGATGCAGTCTCATATGATGGACCAAGCCATCAACAATGCAATCACCTACCTTGGAGCTGAGGCCCTTCACCCTCTGATGCAGCACCCGCCAAGCACAATCGCTGAGGTGGCCCCAGTTATAAGCTCAGCTTATTCTCAGGTCTATCATCCAAATAGGATAGAAAGACCCATTAGCAGGGAAACCTCTGATAGTCATGATAACAACATGGATGGCCCTATCTCTCTTATCAGACCAAAGAGTCGACCCCAGGAAAGAGAGGCCTCTCCCAGCAACAGCTGCCTGGATTCTACTGACTCAGAAAGCAGCCATGATGACCACCAGTCCTACCAAGGAAACCCTGCCTTAAATCCCAAGAGGAAACAAAGCCCAGCTTACATGAAGGAAGATGTCAAGGCTTTGGATACTACCAAGGCTTCTAAGGGCTCTCTGAAGGACATCTACAAGGTCTTCAATGGAGAAGGAGAACAGATTCGGGCCTTCAAGTGTGAGCACTGCCGAGTCCTTTTCCTAGACCATGTCATGTACACCATTCACATGGGTTGCCATGGCTACCGGGACCCACTGGAATGCAACATCTGTGGCTATAGAAGCCAAGACCGTTATGAGTTTTCATCACACATTGTCCGAGGGGAGCACACATTCCACTAGGCCTTTTCATTCCAAAGGGGACCCCTATGAAGTAAAGAACTGCACATGAAGAAATACTGCACTTACAATCCCACCTTCCTTCAGATGTTGACATACCTTTTATTTTTTTTAAATATTACTGTCGATAATTCTTATTTTGTGGACACAGTGTCATTTGCTCTGCCTAATAGGGAAGAAACAGAAGAGAGAAGGGATGGGGACGTTGTTTCTTGATCACTTGGCTTGTTTATTTTGTGGGAATTTAGGAGCAGTTCATTTCTGCCACACATAGATATAAGGCATATCATGCTTTGGAAAAAATCACCTGATTTGTATGGATTCACCTAAGAGATTCTAATTTGTCACTGATATTCAGGATTATGATTGAAGGCAGGAAAGTTTAGAGTTTTCGGGGTAGGACTTCGGCAGTTTAAAATGGTATAAGTAATTTTACTCTTGAAAAAAGAATTTGTTGCAAAATGTAAACTGATTTTTTTGTTGTTGTTCTTTGGAGATCATGGAACACAAACGCATTGTTATTTTTGGTGATAACTCCTAGGATGAGTTGAGTTGTTGTGGGTTCTATGTTTACTTCCCCTATGGAATTTATAATTCAGTATGTTTTACACTGTACCATATAGTAAAACTTTTAAACTGCAGGTAGTTAAGGACCACCTATAATACATCTGAGGTCCTGTGATGTTATTTTTCTAAACTTAAGCACTGTTTTTCCATAGTTTTGATGACTGGCATTTTATAGACACCCTGGCAGCCTTACTTTTAACACCTTTGATGAATAGTATTTTTATGTAGTTTTCAGAATAACATATGGTCTAAGAGTGGATAAGAGGTAGTCAATTTCTGGGAGGGACTTCTACTTTTTTCATAAATTTGAGAGGTTTTTCTTTTAAAGTTTTAAATGTGATGGCAGCATGGTATACATATTTGTTTCTAAAAGTATGCTTACGATTGTCACTTTAATCAGCATTTAATCAGTGTTAACCAGTCAGCAGAAAAATATAATTAGGCTAACAGTAGGGAGAAATCACACATAAAATCCTTTTTCTGGTATTTCTCTTTTCACTGTTTTTTTTTTTTTTTTTTCAAGCTGTGACCACCCAGTGTTCTCTCCACAGTTCATTCATCTTTTACTCTTCCAGTAGAAGGTCTTAAAAGTCTTGCTGTAGGCTATTTCTTTCAAAGTCTCCTCTGGGCAATTGCTAATTTGACCTGAATGTGGTAACTTGAACCCTGTAAAGTTATTGAACTAGGGCTATTTATTCTAGTATTTCTTCAGTAATATTTACTTCTTTTGCTGCAAAGAAAAGGGAACTTCTTTGTAACCTGTACATTGGACTACAGATAAAATAACCAACCAAGTTTACTTTTATCCTTCTTGGAGTCTAGAATGTGACAGAACCTCTAAACAAAGGTCCCGCACATTTTTCTGTTTCAAAAATATTCATGTCTATAAATCCTTGTCAAAAATTAATTCCTTAGTGCAGAATTTCCCTTCTTTAGTCCATATATGACATAGGTTACCATTACCATTTTTAATGTGCTGCTTTTAATTTCATTTATGTAGGTACTCTGTTATTTCTTTTCAGTCCAACAGAACTAGAGAGGGGAATTTAGTGAGACTGATTGAAATCATTGAGGGACACACTTGGAAGGCAGAACTTGCTGCTCGGGTTTGGGGACAGGCCTGTGACTGGATTATCTGATAACCATTTGTGAATACTGAAATTTTGCTAAGCAGTAACTGATAACTGCTCTAAAAGGTCATTAAATAGGATGCTGAAACTATGTTTCTTAATACAGTGTGATATGAGAATTGCCAAGACTGGAGAACTGTGGTCAGATAAGCAAGTCGGGCTTAAATAGTGCTCTGAACTCATTTTCTACTGTACCATTTGCTTATTTAAAGCAACTTCTAAGCACTGACACAGCTAGAATTAAACAAAAGTGGTTACAACTGAGCTCTCTTTTACTGGTTCCTGTCATAATTATTTTTGGAAAAATTTCCAAACTGTTCCTTTAAATCTAATAGAATATATCAAAACGGACATGTATAGAATGTCAACTGTTACATTTTTTTCTGCATGCCTTCCTACATTTTGAACATACAATTTAGTCAAAGGTAAAACATGTCTTTGAGACTCTCTTACTCCCTACCTGCCCTAACCACTCCCAGATAATTAGAATGCCATTTTTTTTTCCTTTTGGATGAGGTAAATAATTTTAAGGTTTATTATTTTTGTGTTTTACTGCAATTTAAGGAAATATTTGGATACCAGTCAGGACATTCATAATTTTGGCTGGTTAGGCTGTGTGTGACATCTGCTGGCATTATCTATGAAATTTCTTCCTGCTTATTTTTTTTCCCCTAGTACATGAACAATCATGTACCTATGCCCTGGTAAGAAACTAAATTTAGGTGAACCTAAGGAGTTTGGGTAGTTCCCTTATGAAGACAGAACTAATAATGCACTCCTTTTCTGATTTCATCTTTTTGGAAATTTATTTTATTGAAGTTAGTTAATAGTCGTGAGAGTGCATTTTCTACAAGTATATACTTGTATTTTCTTAGCTTCATATGAGGAACAGAAAGAGATAGAGATGGCTCAGGGTGTGGCATAGACAAATAAGGACAAGGTCAATTCAAACGTGTAGATTAAAAAGAATTTTTGTGGACATAGTACTTTCTGAGAAATTCTAGATAGCTATATTTGCATGCCTCTTCTTCAAAAAAGGAAATATGCAAGGTGGTAGCACCTAAAAATAAATATGAGGGTCAGAAATCAAATAAATCATGTTTTATGTAATAGTTGTATGCCCAGTTTATTTAGGTGAGATATCACATTACAGAAAGTGTTTGAGGGGCATGAAAATGGGTTACTCTCTATATTTTCCAGTTTGGCAAAAATTCAGAAATTCATCATATTGCTTTGCCCTAATTTTGCCCAGAATTATATCTCCAGCCTCTATTTAAAAATGATGAATCACATTTTAAGAGCCATTCTAATTGGGCTTTTTAAAACAGTGAAAGTGACCAGTAGTCAGACTGGAAGAGATATTAAGTTGTTGAAACGTTCTGTTGAGAATTTTCTAAAGGAACAAAATGGGTGAACGAGAAATTAGAATTTAGATTTGACTACAAAATAGGAAGTGTCTCTCCTACATACATATAAGGCCATTGTATGTATAAATCATAGTGTGTATGTGTGTGTGTATCACACACATTCTTTTAAAGAAAATTCATGCAAAGGAGCAATTAGAGTGATCAGATGTATTATAAAAACATAGAGAATTAAAATTATAGTTAATATCTGAGCAGTTAGGTGGGTTTACTTTACCAGATTGTATTAAGAAATACTAAAGAAGTTACCCATGTGTCTTTAGGACTAGTGGCAACTACTAAAACTTAGACCTTTGTTATCTCCTTCCAGAATGAAGTAAAACAATGACAAAAAAAGATTTTAAAATGATTTGATATAAATTTAAAGAAATATAAATTCCTTTTTGAATAGGAAGAAAATACAGAAAATATTATCAACTTTTATTTGTTGGCAAAGAAAGGAAGACAATTTTAGTGAGCTTTGTAGATTTTTTTTTATAGTTTTCTCAGTTATACACCTCACAAAACCCTGAGGTCTTTATGCTATTTTATCAATGTTTAACAAAATTTACATCAGATTAGGGCATTTAGATGAAAATTATGTTTTCATTACTTTTCAAATCTTATTCCATCTCATCTCCAAAATTACTTCTTAGAGTAGAAAAAAGCAGAAGAGACTGCAAAAATATAAACAAAAAAACTCTATTCTATGGCCCTAGTTTCAAGACAGAACTAATACTGTAAGAGGTACTAGCTACATTTTTTTTAAATTTTGGATTGTTCATTTTATGAAAAAGGGATGTTATATTTGTGGTTATATTCAGTTATATTTATATTTTAACAAGTACTATATGCAGATTATTCTAAACCAGAAAATTCCCCAAATCCAAAAAGAAAGTATGGGACGGGGGGTGAAATTGAAGTTTGTATATACAAAAGTTATCTTAGAAATATTTTTAATCCTCCAGTTTCTGCAAAATAATTAAAATATACAGTAACTGGTTTCTTAAAATCCTGAATTTAATGTATTAAATACTTATTAAAATTTTTATATTGGTGCCTTTTTAAAATGCATTGAGAGTGTTGGTTAGCTATTATAGCTCTATAACACTTTTAATATGCATTTTTAAAAATCACTTAAAATTGATTACTATATAATTCATATTTGTGTTCTTAGGGCAAAACTTTAGAGCAATTTCCAATACAGAAACTTTCAGCTCAGCTGTTAAAGAAAACTTTGGAACCAGATTTTAATATCTTCTTAATTTCATAGTATTTATGAATATCATTACAAGATTATGCAGATAAAATATAAGGCAGAGTGAAATTTTACCGGTAAATTGAATTATGTTTTTGTTTTGTTTTTAAGGAAGAATAAATTCTGTATCACAGAAGTGGAATTTTTAGTCAATAAAATAACAGTATTGTTTTGGATTTTCATCTCCAGACTAGTATTGTTCTAGTCTTGGAACCTCTATTGTCTAATCTGTGAATATTTGATGGCATAATGTAAAAAAGCAGGTAATCAATTCTTGAACAAAACTGAGCAGTCATATTGCATTGCTATTCTCCAAAGCATAATCTCAAATCGTTACATACCATGGTTGTGTATTACTTGCAGTGGATGTGTTAGGATGTGACAGTTTTTTTAATAAAAAAAAAAAAGAGCTGCTGGTTATACAAAGCAAATGTCATATGACCAAGAAGCTGTGATATGCTAGTGTTCTTTTTATCATAGTGTATTGCTAGGCCAAATAATGACACCTTGAATAGTTTTACATTTATTGCAAAAACCTAAAACTTTGGAATTTCCATAAGGTTTTTATGTAATATTCTATTTCTAGCTTTTTAGTTTTATCTTGCTGTACTGTAAGTTTGTGGATATTTTTTCACATGCACTCTTAGGAATAAGTTCATAATTCTGTTTATGGGCTTTTTCTCCCATAATATTACATTTGTATATTTTCTGTATAAATTTGTTGTGAATTAACCTTTATCCCATACAGAGAGTGGTACATGAATGACTAGTTTTCTAAGATGTCCTTTTTATTGTGAATAAAATATAAAATTTAGAGGCCCTCTGTTTAGCCACATAAAGTACAGCATATAACTTCACATAGGTACAAATAAGCCAGTTTGCAGTGAATCGGGCCTTTCAAATTACCTCAAGTGACACACAGTAAGAAAAGCTTCCTGAATGAGTAGAGGTCACTGAATTCCCTACTATGCACTTATCAGGATTTTACTTAATTTACTGGAAGTAGATTTTTTTTTTTTAAGTGAATACACTGTAACAAGGAAAGGAATCTGGGTTTTGGTTTTTTTGAATTTTTTTGTTTTAAGTAGTTCAAATTCTGAAACTGTGATAAAATTTGACAGTCAAGCACTCTCAGATTTTCAACGTAAATCACTTGCCCTTCTGTGTAACAGTTCTTTCTTCTTAAATTTTGTACTATCTCCCCCAACCTTTCTCTCATCTGTCCATCTCCCTTCCATCATTGTCTATGAATGCCTTTGCCTCTTTCTTCCTACAAGTTTAAAGATAGGTCAACTCTTACTTCCAATTTATTGGTCCTTAATTTTTTTGTGATTTTTGTTGGCTGTGTAATCTGCTGACATATTTTTATACTCAAGTGTAGTTTTATATTAAAAAGAAAAGTGGTTGGATTAAAAATACTAAGATATATAACTTTCATGTTACTTTCACTTTCAAATATTGGGTACCTAAAACATCACTTCAGAAATTATGTAATTGTATTATAGCATGTTTGCCTTCATTTTTGTTGGGTTTTATGTTCTGATTTGGCTTTCCTCTGAAAATGTATATCATGAAAGACTAGACTTTTTTTGCAAATATTTAGAAAGATTTTATAAATGTAGAGCAAAGAGTCTTAACTTTCTCCCAATTGGGAGAAAAATGCTTTAACATTACTATAATAATATTCCAGGTTTGGAGGGGGTCTTCAGGCTCCATATTTGCTCTTAATACTTGGACCTTTTAGACCATGTGTTATTTGCAATCCCAGAATGATTGCTTCTGCTATTAGTTAAAAAGATACTATTCTTTTCTTTTTGTACAAGTGCAATAATCCCCTTGAAGTCTTAAAAACTATGGTGATTTTTTTTTGTCTTTTCTGACCTATTCTTTTGTTAGCTAATGACAAAAAGAAACCCTTGAAAATCATAGTATGTTAAAGGACACAACAAGCAAAGAGGAAAACACTCCACAATCAAAAGATTAGAGAATGTGGAAAACACTGGTCTAATCTCATGGTATCTTTATTTAGGCTAAATTTCCGTTGAATTTACTATTCTTTTGCCTGGGAAATGTGTCCTAAAGTAGAAATTTTTATAGACTGGATTTTCTTATAGACTGAATTTTCTTCCTTGCCCAATGCTCTAAATTAAGAACCTAATATTTTTTATTTCATTTCTCTCCTTTTAGAAATGAACTTTAAAATAAAAGCAAAGCACTTACTTAGCTCAATTTTAAACACATATCACCTATTGGAGAAAATTTTTTAAAAAAATATTTGGAGTCCTGTTTTCATACAAATTTAAGTAAGAAGTATTTTTCGTGTCATACATATTTATATGTAGTGTGCTGATTTTCTTTTTTTATACCTGTGCCCCTGTAGTAAAACTGCTGTAATGTAAATACATGTTTTGTTAAAAGATAACATTTCTTTGGCATTTCTTTTAAAGGCAGTTACTGCATTTGTACAGTATGTGTCTTGGCCATTTTAGATATTTTTTTCTTTAACAATACCAAAGGTAATTAGACTATTTTAAAGACTAATTGCTTGACAGTTTCTAGGATATTTTGAGTTTTAGAAGCAAAAAAAAGAAAAAAAAAATAGGTCAAACCAGTAAACCTCATTTTTTTGAAACTAATTTGGAGAAATAAAAACTATTGTTTAAAAAAGAAATATATATATAAATATATATATATGTAAAGCTAAAATTCCAGACCTTGTATGTCAGGTTTGCTCAGTGTAATGTAGTTTTTTTAAGGCTCAAATACCATACCTCAGAAAATGAGGTTTACTATGGAAATACTGAAACAGTCTTTGCAGCTGTGTGACAAGTCACTCTACTACATACTGATTTGGAGACCTCCGCTAAACAGTTTTATCACTGCAGACTAAAATGTGGGACTTGTATTTTCTTTGTTTTTAATGCACACACATACATGTTTCTGTGCATGTATGTGGGTACTGTGTATATGTGTATGAGTGTTGTAATATGCATGTGTGAGTGTGTGTCTGTATGTGTGTACAACTAAAGAAGCTGCAGAAACTTTGTAATACTTTGTGAAAAGGATTATATTATAAAGGTTTGTACTGTCTGAGTGCACAGCTACTGGAATAAATTTAGGGAATCTCAGGAACAAGCATATAATTTGTCCAAGATTTATTTCTTCTCAGAAGTGTAAGTGCAGTTTTTAATTCTGTATATTATTTAATATTTTACCAATAAAATAAACTTCTGACATAAAAAGTTTGCTACAAAAACTTTCTGGCGAAAATTCTGTACACAAACACATCTTCCAAATACAGAAAACTAAATTGTTGAATAGTACCAGGCTCATTTAAGTTATCATTGCTTTTGTGTATGTGTCACGATTCCTGTACCAGAGATTTGGATACATGTGATTTCAGCAATCTCCATCTCAATCAGTAATCCATCTCCAACATTGCTATGTAATCCACCAGAGCAGAGAACAATGTATTCCATGATTTTTCAAGGATGATATCTCTGCCCTTTAGACAGTTTTCATATATATATTATGTTTGAAAAATATCTATATCAGAGCTCATCCCCTTTTGTAGAAGAAAAAAATAGGACTTCAGGAAAGAAAATTGTGACTTACCAAAATGCACAGTGAATTACACACACTTGTAATGATCTAATATGGTCAATAAACATATAAGAAACCAGCATTTCTTAGAAGTCAGACCAACATAAAATTAAGGACTAAGTCATAGAGATTGTTCAATCACATTGGCAAAAAGTTGGTTGCCAGTTCTGCTTCATGTTGAAGTACCACTACGTGGGCCACAAACCTCATTTCTCAGATTTTATGAATGTTTATCTTTTGCAACAAACTCCAGATTATATCAATGCCCTGGGCCCAAACAGAACGTAAGTATTGATTCTGGTTTGGTGGACATAAAAGCTTAAAAGACTTGGTCAACACCACTTCTGTAAATGATAAGAGTCTCCAACTATAATATTCCCTATTCAAAAGTAGAGTTGAGGTGATCCAGGGCATTTGGCTATCAGAGTGATAAAAGTGGATAAGAAATTTGTTTTGTTATAAACATCTTCATAACCAGAGATATTAAAGGGCACATATGATTGCAAACTCATTTTATTTAGCTTTAGCTATCCACTTATCCCTCATGCCAATTTAAGCTCTATTATATTAGTATCTGAGATAGCTATTAGTTTTTCTTCATTGATATATATATACAGAATTTCATGGATATTTATCACATTCCCCAATAATTTCACTTCCATATATCACACAGAATGAAAAATACTACAAATTAAAATGAAATTTTCCTTCCTCAATGGTATAATACTCCAAATACCCAATTTGAGGTAGGGGGCAATGCAAAGAATGAAAATAGCAAAGCAAAAAGGATGAATTCACCAAATTCCCCCTCAAGTATTAAGTTTATGAAGGATTCCTTTAAGTTCAGTAAGGAATATCAAATTCTCCTTTTTTATAGTATCTTTTTTTTGTTTATGGTATCAAGAGCCAAATGAAAAAGATTTTTTGAAAAACATGCCATATGCTCTTGACTTTTCCACTGCAATACATTAAGAGAAATGATAAATAATTGAAATCCTGATATGCTTCTAAGACATTTTATCAACATGCTGAAGCCAAAGTACTGTTCTTGGGGTATCAGCCACATGGTGAAGTATCTCATTTGGCATTTTAGAAACTCCACCTCCAGCTATTAGAGGGTTCTAAGATGGACTCATTAAACTTCCAACAAAACCCCATTTTTTCTTAATAGCTTTACTGAAAGTTTCCAGTATGATTTTTTTTTTTTTTAACTTCTCACTAGTTGTTCCAACAAGGATAACAACTGGTCAATATAAACTTTGGTGTATTTCTCTTATTTGGCATAATACTCCAGAGAGGTGTTTCTATAAAATAGCCAAAAAGCAAATGGGAGAAATTGACAAAGAAGATAGTTATTTGGACATCCATAATCCCATATAAAAATGGGTAAAAGTTGGGAGAGATCCTGGAAAATGAAGATATGCTTAGTCTGTGATGAATAAAAGTGTTAGCTTTTTTCTTGTCCTTACTGCTGCTTTATAATCCTAGACTATGTCTGAAATCATACGGACTGTTTCTAAATTGAAATTTGTCAGACAAAGGACAAATTCCCTCAAAACAGTAAAAAATCAGATACTGCCCATATTAGTGTTGAGTTGTTTGTCCTAGAAACCCCTAGAAGAGCTGTATGAATGTAATCATCAAATCACTTGGAACATCTGTGAAGCAGCAAGATTTTTAAGTGCTCCAAAAAGAACAAAAGGTAACAAGGAAGGTAAGAGTCTATGTGTCTGGCTCAGTGGGCCTTAGGTAAGCCTGTGACTAAAGGAGGAGGTATCCCTTTAGTCATTTCCCCTCAGCAGATGGAGTTGGGATCAGAATCAATTGCCTTCACTGGGAATGCTAAGTGAAATCCCCTGATTGGAAAGTAGGAGAATTGAGCTAAGGAATAGCAACCCGTACTGTATCAGTGCCCTGAGCCCAAACAGGACCCAAGTATTGGTTCTGGTTTGATGGATGTAAAAGCTTAAAAGACTTCCATAAATGATAGAGTCTCTAACTTTAATGTTCCCTATTCAAAAGTACAGTTGAGCTGACCCAGGGCATTTGGCTTTTAGAGTAATAATAACAGTAGATGTTGTACCTCGGAAGAGGAATATCCCAGTCCAGGGAGCGAGTGGCCATCTTTTCTTGCTTTATTTTTTTCCTTCTTTCCTTGGTTTTTTCATTATGTCATGTAAATTTATTTACATTTCTTTCCAGCTCCTTTTTCTCTTCCCTTCTCACCTTTGTTTCTCCACATCAACCATTTTTCCCCTCCCTTATCTGCATAATCTGTTTGATCATTTTCTGTCACCTTTGTCCCTGTCATAATTCTGATTACTGTAAAATATACACTGTCTTTCACTATGGGCAATTTAACAGAACCAGAATATATATGAGTTTTAGCCATGCCCTTTTTTATAAGTACTTTGCAAATTAGCACAATTATTCTTGGCTTTATCTAATTCACTTTCAAATTGCTCATAAAAGTGTAGGTTATCTGATACTTTATGTGCAAGGAAACTGGTTCAGATTGATTATGATTTTGACTGTAAACACCCCAAATCAGTGAAAAAGCTAAAACTAGCCTCTAATTCCAGATATACTTAGCGTTTTATTTCTAAACCTGTCTATTCAGCATTTGATTGATAAACCCCATTAATACAGGGTAAGAGAATCAGCAAGCATACTTTAAAAGTAATGTTTTTCTTATTCTAATTTTTTAACAGAATTATCCCAAACGAACTCATTGGCACAGTCAGGAGGGCTGAAAAATACAGTTTTAAGTAGCAGGACAAAAAAAACTGAAATTAAAATTTTGTTGCAGAAATTTTTTAAATGGACAAATTATTCTAACCTGGTCTTCTAAAGACCTCTTTTATACTGAGCAAATAAGTGTGGGTTTTTGCTTGCTTACTAAATTTACTTCACAATTGATGGGATTCCTTGCCATTTTCTAAATCACTTTATTCGTACTCATCTTCTTTACTTCTTTCATTGCTAAATGTGACTTCCAGTATTTATACTTTGTATTTCTAGCTCCTCTCCATTTAAAAACCTTGAGCTGACTCATCATGAATATATGAATTTATCAGTACTGGAAGCTCTGGCAATGATATCCTGCTGTTTTCAGTTGTCATTTTATATCATCTTCCAATTTCACTGAGCAGCCTGAACATTGTACTTATTCTTCTTAGGTGCTAAAACCTATCCACTTATTTACCCCTTTACTATTAATTCTATAGCATAAAGCAACATCATTCCCAACTCTACTCATTTTCAAGTGAGCAACATATTTACCATAAATTTCTACCTCATGTTGTTTACCCTTAGGACTGGGCCATGTACTACCATTTGGAATTTTTTGGCTTTGACCTGACAAGTTTCCCCAATCTTCAAGGGACAGTTGCGCTGTAGTTACGCCTACCATTATGTTCTCCTTGTCTTGCTTCTACAATGTAAGTAAGTAACCTGATTTTTTGGCCTTCAAACAGTCTATTCTTTGTCTCCCCGCCCCACCCCACCTCCCTTCACTGTTTATTATTTCTTTGGATCAGATTGTAATGTGCATGTATGTTACTATCATTTGATAACACTCAAGGGGGAAAAAACTGGGACAGCAAATGACTCACGTTTTTCCAAACTCTTAGCCAAATGATTTTTATTCATCCTAACTAATGGTAGTTTGGCTATACTATAACACTGGTACATTTTCTGAGCTACAAGTTTAAGCCCTGAGTCTTCTGCTTTCTTCTTTAATGTTTTGATAAGTCTGATTATAGCAAAGAAAGTGGATCGCTTGATCACATAACAAGCATGAGAAGAACTCTGCTGCAGGCAAGAGTAAAGAGAAGAATTTGTTCTTAATTCGCCTTGAAGAATTCAAGTAGCTTTCATGGATCTTTAAGATATAAAGTGAGTCATTCCTAATTCTTTTGAAATAAAGATGAGCTCTATATTAATATCCCTTATGCTTTTTCCCTTTGCTAGAACGTGCACACAATATAAGCAATTTCAACTAACTATAGCATGTTGATGAACATGCTTTCTGTTTTAATTATAAAAATAAGTTTGACTTTTTTAAGAATTAAGAATCAGACACCATACTTAATATCTCAGCTTTAATAAAATGCCCATTTGTGCTAACATATTTTGAATTCTTAATTTATTCTGGCTCATAGTTTCTAATCTATAGAAAACTTAAAAACTTAACTATAAAGAGCTTGATATGGGCTGATAACTTGGGAGCTATATAAATGTCTACTAACTTTCCATCAATATAGTCTTAATGCATTTTTTAAATGAGTGATCTATCGTAAGTATATTAGAATATATGCTTGTGTTAGTTATATGATACTCCTGGTATCTGACTCATAGAACATAAAAAAACATGACATGATCAGTTCAGTTGAAAAAAAAAAGAACCCCCTGAAATTGACATAATGAGGGATATTTTCCTTTCTGTGATCACGTGGTTCATATTAACACATCAGTAGGTCTTCCCAGAACATTTCCAATGTATGTATAACCCAGTTACAATTATTAGTCATCACATAGATGGTTTATAAGTAGCTTTGGGCAATACTAGCGTCCCATGGTAACTCAGTATATCCAAGCATCGCATATCAGTAATGACAATCTATCAGCCTGCCACTGCACAGCGAG